CATTTATTGCTATAAACTGATCTCTGAGCACTGCTTTTGCTGTGTCCCAAAGGTTCTGGTAGAATGTGTTTTCCTTCTCTTTTGATTCTATGAATTTCTTTCTGCCATCCTTAATTTCTTCTATAACCCAGTAGTTTTTGAGCAAGGTGTTGTTCAGTTTCCATATGTTTCTTTTTTTTTTCTTGCTTTTTCTGTTGTTGATTTCTACTTTTCTGGCTTTATGGTCAGAAAAGATACTTTGTAATATTTTGGTGCTTTGGATATTGTTAAGACTTGCTTTATGGCCTAATATGTGGTCTGTTCTGGAGAATGTTCCTTGTGTGTTGGAAAAGAAAGTATACTTGACTGCTGTTGAGTGGAGTGTTTTTGTATATGTCTATGAGAGCAAGTTGGTTGATTGTAGCATTTAGTTCTTCCGTGTCTTTCTTGAGCTTCTTTCTGGATGTTTTGTCCTTCACTGAAAGTGGTGTGTTGAAGTCTCCTACTACTATTGTGGAGCTGTCTATCTTTCTTTTCAGTGCTGTTTGTTTTATGTATTTTCGAGCCCTATGTTTAGGTGCATAAATGTTTATTATAGTTATGTCCTCCTGCTGTACTGACCCTTTAATCATTACATAGTGTCCTTCCTTATCCTTTGTGGTGGATTTTACTTTAAAGTCTATTTTATCAGAGATTAATATTGCCACTCCTGCTCTTTTCTGAGTGTTGTTTGCGTGATATATTTTTTCATCCTTTGAATTTTAGTTTGTTTGTGTGTTTAAGTCTAAGGTGTGTCTCTTGTGAGCATCATATGCATGGATCATGTTTTTTTATCCAATCTGCCACTCTCTATCATTTTATTGGAGCATTCAGTCCATTTACATTCAGCATATAATTATTGATAGGTATGAGTTTAGTGCTGTCATTTTGATGTCTTTTTTGTGTGTTGTTCACAGTTTCTTTGTTCCACTTACTTTTCTGTACTGAGTCATTTTTCTTTCTTTATTCTCTTTTCATCTTTTTCATTGTTGTTGATTTTGTGTTTGCTGAGTCTTTACATATTTCTAGTTTTTTTATTTTGCCTTGTAGGATTGTTAGTTTCCTTTGTGGTTACCTTAATATATACCTGTATTTTTCTAAGTTTATACATCTTTTTTTTTTCTTTATATCACCTTGACTTCCTCTCCATATGAAAAATCTGTGTCTAGATTTTTTAAGCACTCTTTTTTGTTTTAATGTTGTCATCGTTTACATATTGACATGTTTCCCTATTTTCAGTGTTTTAGCTTTGATTTTTTTTGTGACTTCCCTCTCTGGGTTGATATCTGGTTGCTCTGTAATGTGTTCTAGTCATGTGTTGTTATCTGAAGTTATTGATTTTCTAACCAGAGGACTCCTTTTAGTATTTCTTGTAACTTTGGCTTGGTTTTTGCAAATTCCCTAAACTTTTGTTTATCTGGAAATGCCCCAATTTCGCCATCGTATTTGAGAGACATTTTTGCTGGATATATAATTCTTGGCTGGCAGTTTTTTTCCTTCAGGGCTTTATATATGTCATTCCATTGCCTTCTTGCCTGCATGGTTTCTGCTGAGTAGTCCGAGCTTATTCTGATTGACTCTCCTTTGTACATGACTTTTTGTTTATCCCTAGCTGCTTTTAAAATTCCCTCTTTATCTTTGGTTTTGGAAATTTGTTATAATATGTCTTGGTAACTTTCTGTTGGGATCTACCTTATGTGAGGTCTGATGAGCATCTTGGATAGATATCTTGTTATCTTTCATATTGGGGTAGTTTTCTGCCAACAAATCTTCAACAATTCTCTCTGTATTTTCTGTTTTCTCCCCCTTTTCTGGTACCCCAATCACCATAGGTTATTCCTCTTGATGGAGTCCCTCATAATTCTTAGGGTTTCTTCACTTTTTGTAATCCTTTTATCTGATTTTTCCTCAAATAAGTTGGTGTCAATCTGCTTTATCTTCAATCTCACTAATTCTGACTTCCATTGCCTCAATTCTGCTCCTGTGACTTTCTATTGAGTTGTCTAATTCTGAAATATTATTGTTAATCTTCTGGATTTCTGATTGCTGTCTCTCTATGGATTCTTGCAGCCTGTTAAATTTGTCATTATAGTCTTCTCTAATCTTTTTAATTTCCTCTATTGTGTGTTCTGCATTTTGATTAATTTCCTTCCTAATTTCTTGAAGAGTTCTGTATATTAATCTTTTGTATTCTG